AATACTGACACTAAAGACTACCACTCAGCCACAAACACAGGTTCCAGCAGAGATAATCTCCAAAGAGCTAGGATAAACTATAGTGATTTTATGGTATTTTGAATCAAAACAATCTTACTGTTTCTGGAAAAGGAGGAAGGACTTGAGACCTGTAGAAGAAGATAGCATTCCCTGTGCAGTTACACTGTTGTCTCTTCTCAAAGTGAATGCTGATTTTTCCCACGTTGGTCAATGAATGAAAGGATAATACACAGTGCAGCGGCAAAGGCACTTCTCTATCACCAGCAACCATGTCAAGCCCGAAACAATAGTTTTCTCTTAGCCCTCGTTACAGTCCTCTCGCCTCGGTGTAACTACTAATTTTCTTTATATCATCCCTAAAAATGATTAATCTCTTCCTGATAATGTATGATTATGGAGAACTTTAATTAGCAGGCTGGAAGGCATTTCATGAACAGCACCCCCCCATCATTCCCATCATGTATTAAATGGCATTAACTGCGGTAATGTATGCATGTGCCAGAGGTCTTCCTCACTATTCCTCTCGTCTCAGAGCTAGGAGGCATCAACCATTTGTGGGGAACCTCATACCTCCTCAAGTGCATTGAGCTGGCCAAGATCAGCTTATGACTGAGGTCAGTTGATGGACATTGACCAACTAATGTAAAGGATGCTACGATGCTGCTGTCTGCAACAGCAAGGACTTGAACTCCAGGATCCAGAAAATCTTTGCCCGTTCTGTGTGTTCAAGCACAAGTCTCAGTGACTTCACAGATTTTTTTATGAGAGTGACAACACTGTAAGCAAACCTGCTACACGGACTGCCAGAGTACAAGCTAGCCTGCAACAGAAAGGGTTGCACGTCCTTTCTTCCCCCATGAACAACCTCATTAGGGCTCAAGTTTTCATAGTGCTTGCAGGTTACACTGGGCAGCGAGGGAAGGAGTCACTGAAGACAAGGTGCAACTATTTAAAATGGAAATACTGAACCACTACACAGCTGACTACAGCGGTAGCTGCTGATAAGCCTTCATCCTTCAGAGGAGAAGGAGCTATCACTTAAAAATGGGCTTTAGTGCTTAGTAAAGCACTGTGTCATTCAGCTTTGCACTGTACATGTCTGAGCCCTACTAAAGAAACAGGAATAAATTGCTTTCCTCAGACAAACATTGTAATTTCTTACCCTTTTCTCTATGCAATTGAATTTTACATCCCATTCCAGATGAGAAAACGAAAACCCCATCCTCAATTAAATTTATGTACAAAGTAGCAAAACCCTCCCATCCAGATCTTCTTTCTGTTCGTCTTAGAGGGAATCAGTGGCAGTGCCTGTGCTGGTTTATGAGAGGATACAGAAGTGTAAGCCCATATTTTATGATGAAAATGACAGTAGGAGTGACCTTGCTCCAGCACATATTGCTTTTTCGACAGTGTCTAGAGGAGATAATCTAACAGCAGTCTGCAAAGCATCATGTTTCCTTAGATCCTGCTACAGTAATTCAATCATGAGCATATAAAATTAGATGAAAAATAAGGTAACTAGCCTTCTGGGACTGAGTGATTGCAATAAATGTTGCCTCCTGACAGTAAGCATTACATTGTCCTCTTGAAAGAGAGGTTACCTTTTATTATAGCATACTTCTTCTCTCATTTCAGTCTGTGCCAGGTTAACTGTTAAGCATAGTCTGCAGGACGGCAAAAAATCCTTTAAGACAACTATATGCTGCCTCTAAGGTACCAAAGCAGTGAGTAAAAAACTTCCAACTCCTGATCTTTGGGATCAAATGAGCAATGACCTTTCTTATTTTTTGTTAAAAGACAGGTTTTCCCTTTCCATTGACTTTCATGTAATTATCACAGAGTACTTTATAAGCATCGGTTGCTTAATCAAATCTTACAAAACTTGCCATCCATTTTAGAGAAGTTAAGCTGAGCCACAGTCATGTCTGTGTCTCTAAACTCACCAAAATTTGCAGCTGAAGGTCACAAAGCAAGTTAATAAAAGGGATAGAGTGAAACTGAGGTATGGTGGAGGTTATTCTCTAAGTGTCAGTATGGAAATTGTTTTCAAGTTACAAATACTTGCCCACGCATTTGTCCTGTGGACAGCTGAGAAAGTACAATTTTTTAAATTATTACAGGCTTGATCACAGTAAAATCATTTATGTTTACCTACCTTCGAAGATACATATGTGTCTGACATAAAGTCATACACCAGTTACTGCCACAAACACACACTGTTGTAGGTAGTCACAGAGTATACGGCAAGCCCTGAGTTCTGGGTGCTTTTATACAGTGTAGGTGGAGAAGAAAGCACCAAAAATAGGTACTGTCTGCCACTGTCTGGTCATTAACGTCGACTCCAGCTGTGATATTTTTGGGGAAGCAGAGGCGGGAACTCCTGGTAGAAGTCCTTGGGTAGCAGACGTTGTAAGACAAACACTTGTCCATGCTGGTGGGCTGCTGCTGCCCTACCAGCTTGATCAACTGCAGGATAAGCAGGGCTCCTTGATATGTTCTCATTCAAGCAGCTTTTCCATCTATGTGTTATATGTGTATATGAATAAATAGGATTTCATGCTCATCAAAAAGACACTAGAGTATGACAGTTAATGAGCAATAAAACAATACCCTGAGAAAGTGAGGCAAGGCCAAGCTCTAGCTAAGCAGGCTGAGGAGCTGTGGAAAAGGATGGCTGCTATTAGTGAATGCAAGTGATTCTCCTTCGAACCACAACAGCTCTACCCTAGTTGTATGAGCAAAGTCTGACAGGATGATTACTTTTATCCAGAAGTCTGCATTTCAGCTGGAACAGATGTTTCCACCGACCTGACCCACATCAGCTGTAACAGAAACCAAAGGGAGTTGTCTCTGCTGTAAATGTACCCGCAGCAGATACCTGAAGTCGGACGAATCCTACACGAAAAGTGCTAAAAAGAAATGTTCCTGTAAACTGCGTGGAAGCAAAGAAGTTAAAAGACCTCTCACTTTCAGTTATATAAATAACTCCACCAAATGTAATGGAATGATATTTTTATAAAGTAATTGAAATCCTACCAAGATCCCTGTGTTTTCTTGTGTATACATGTTTTGCAAGGGCATCTGAATGGAGACATTGACATTGGCTCCATAGTTCAAGCTGCGCTGTATTTGTGCTTTGCTGAGATTACAGTTTGAGAATTTAGCCCTGTATAATGAAAATTCTGACAAAGATATGTTCGGCAGATGTAAACAGATCTAACTCTAATGACCTTATAATGGAGGTATTTTTTACAGCAGCTGAGAATCTGGACCACAGCTTGTTATGCAAAATCATTATCTTGTGTACTCGGATTAATGCACACACTAATAAAACTCATTAATCTCTTCAGGTATCACTCCAGGTGATTTTTGTGAATGGGATATAATGTATTCCAAACATATCACCTCATAACTGTTGATAAGACCCTTTAGAAACCTTAATCTTGTTATTCAAAAATGCTTCTAATTGCGCTAGAACAATTATCTTGGTGCAAAGGAAATGGACACTGTCTCTAGTAGCTACTGACAGCTTTTCTTGAAATGAAAACAAAAAGAAAAATATACAGTTTTTTTCTTTGAAAGAGACAAACTCCGTAAACATAATAACATTTACTACAGAACTGAATAGTTATTGGGAAATGACACTCCTCTGCATATGTCTGCCATAACTCTAGATTTCCAGGTAGTCCGTTAGTCCATTGTACTGTCAATGCCACTTCTCTGTACTGTATTACCAAGTATTTTTTAGAATACCTCTAAATGCCCCCCAAATACAGTCTATCTATCCTTCCTGGGGCAGAACATGTTTTTACAAATGTCCATGTCTAGACATTTTGCTTGCTATTATTAACAGTTAACCATTCTACTTCTCCACTTCATCATGATTATTCTGGTTATTTCCCATTTTGCCATCTCAAATACTTCTTCTTTATCCTTGGTGTTCAGCACAAACAGTTACTAGCACCAACGAATTCTTGCCAGTCAGAGGAAGGGCAATCCATGCATCGCCAGACAGACTGCTGACTTTCGGCAGAGAGAGCACGTAGCTGCTCTACGACAGCATACACCTTTTTTTACGTTACACACGTGTTTGTTTTCTCCCGAGCTGTTGAAGATAAGGCATTTCTTGTTGGCTTGCTGCTTTGCAACACTTGTTTTCGAGGACATGCAGCCATTTGAGCAGCTTCAATCATAGCAGCGGACAACTGGTGTGCATGCATTGCGCGTGTAATTTAGGATAATTAAGCAGAATTAAATTACATAGGATTAAATGCTATGGAGTTCTGCATTTATTCTTAACATAGCTGGAGAAAGCTGACTTTAACAACTCTTCTCCTGAAATGTCCTCTATCCTTAGCCTTTTGGATACTCTAAGGCATTTTCAACACAGGAAATCTCTGTTGGACTTGTAGATTACTCCAATTTAAGGTAAATTTATGATGAGTGAGCAGTGAAACGCTAGATAGTCTACTCACATTGTCCATTAAGTAGCTTTCTGCAAACTGCCCTTTCTTGGCAAACTGTCTTTTCATTGTAACTTACTTCGAATCCCCCTGTTCATAGTACTGATAGGAGCTGATGTATTTGGAACTCAGTCCCGGTCACCCAGTTAATGCCACCTCACTGGCTTATCTCTCACAAACTTTCTGACGTTTTATGTCTCTAGGTTTTGCTGTTACTTTAACTTAAGGGTGCCTTGAGTGGCTGGAGGAGCGTACTTCTATCTTCAATAGTCAGATATGCACAGAAAAAGGTTGCAGTCATCTGCTTTCTAGTTAAAAACAAAAATACACAAAAGGTATATACAAAATACACAAAGAAGAAAATGTTAAGAGTAAGCTTTAAAAGCAAAGTGACCCAGATATTTATGGCCAGTCTTTCAAAGCTGCTCACAGATACACAGGATGTCTAAAGATATCAAAGCTGGCTCTAAATTGTATCCTTCGGCACAACAACTGCAATAACAAAACCCAACATACCTTCGCATGTCAGTAGGAAGTATTCCAGATTGTGACTGAAGGATGCACTGAAGTAAGTACAGTTTTCAATCAGATCACAAGACAGACACCGCCTGTTGAAGTTCCCGTTTGTGCTCGCGCTGAAAAAGTTAATACAAGTCCATGAAGGTCAATGAGCAAATGTTATCTGGAAGCAACATTACTTGAACCTTACTGTACTGTAGAACAAGAACATAAATATAATGTGTCCAGCATTAGTAAGAGACAAAGCATTTCCATTTGGTTGGGTTTAAATAGCACTAATGGCTTTTTTTTTTTGCCTGAATGGAGAATATATAAAGGGATACTGATGCCTTTTTCTGCAAGGTCAGCTGGCTATGCAGGAAGGTATAGTTTTTAAAAGAAAATGATCATTGCAATTCCACAAGAGGAAGTCATAGTTCAGCGAATGAAGGCACGAAACTTTGGAGCACTATTTCTACACCTACTTATATTATAACAGACAATAAAGAGCTGGAGTTGCTTTCTTTAAGTTTCTTACTGATTGCCTCACTGGTCTGATTTACTAGCAGCTGCCTCAGAGGCCAAAGCCCTTTTTGGGGGTTTAAATAGTTGCTCTTGTAACATCCAAGTAGAAAGGAAAGACCGTATTTAGGGATTTGTTTTTGAAGGTAATGATGTGGCCTGTCCATACACTTGGAAGTGCTTTGTAAGAGTCTACTATATGTTGAAGAATGAATTACAGATTATTAGAAAATATTAATAAACATAATTTTGTACTTCTATAGCATTTTGAAGTTTCAAAATGCTTCAAGAATATTAACTAATAGATCTTTCCAGTATTACTGTAAAACAGATGAGTGGTTTTTGTTACCATTTCAAGGTAGAAAGAGATGAGGTTGAGCAACCTGTTTAGGGCCACAGAGACTGAACTGAGTAGCTCTTGGATTCTTGTTTAGGCTCAGATCATGTCTCTGACTTAAATCCTGTTTACAACTACTAAATCAGACACAAAAAGGAAAAAAAAAAATACCCAAACAGATCTTCACCTGATATAAACTGTCAGAGCTCCAGTGGAGCTCCGTCAATGAACATATGCCAAGGTTGCTGCTGAGCTGACACCCTTGGGCCGGGATGAGAGACAGTCAAACTACCCAGCACAGGAAATCAAATATGTGAAGTGAGGCCAAGATCACTCTGTAAGCAAAGTGAGGTCAAGGACGTTGGCATTTTGGGCATCTCTTTCCTTGTTGCCAATGTGGGGAGGTGAGCTTAATGAGGCACCAGGGTGAGCTGCATGTCAAGATGAGTGAGGGGTGGGAAGCACTTTGACTCATGCCAGCAGCTCTTGAGCAGCTGTGCCCGGACCAAGCTTTTAAAATGAGATTTTCTTCCCCTTTCAATAGAAAGGAATGGTCAATACAATTTTGAGTTTTTTTTATTCAAGAAAATAAACATTAAGCTGAGCTACTCTCAGAAAACTGTGGAGTACAGTGAACAGGCATAGAGGTCTCGAAGGGAAAAAATGATCCAACTACAGGTATTTTAGTTTGCTCTAGTTTCCTTTCTACTGAGGAAAAAAGGTGTGACCACGTTAGAGGAGGAAAACATACTGACTGTCCCTTATCAACTGATGCTATCACCAGCTCTGCCCTTCGTTGCAGATGCTGAGATGACAGCAGGGTGACTGCGAAATAAAATAGGACAAATGGAGTAATGATTCCAAAATGATTATTTAAAAGTTTGGGTTTCCTCCCCTTTGTAATCTGCTCCCACAATACTTTGCAATAGCTACACTACCAATAGCTTACTATAAACCAGCCTTTTACTCATCATACAGTTCTGGAGGATATTAAAGCCATCTGAAATTGCAGAAAAACATTTGCAAACATAAGATATTGTTATTTCTTTTCCATTTCGTGAAGAGGTGAGGTGTTATCACATTTCCATGAAAACTGCTGTCTGGAAGTATAAAAACAGTTTATACCATTAGTACATGTAATTCTGAATTCTTTCAAGTGCTAAGGAGTTCTGTTGCAAAGTTTTGTGACAGTTTGTCAATCTTGACACCAACTTAAAATTTGCAATAAAATGAGAAAATTGCTAAAAGTAAAACATTTCCAAATGTCAAGCATTTTGTTCACTATTGTTGTGCTGTTCCGCCTATTCCAGTGACACACTGCAAGCCCTTGCAATGCCATTAAAGACAAACACATAAGAAACTGTTTCTATTGCAATCGCTTAGGTAACGATTTGCGTAAGATTGAAAAAATGGGAAATTCTGTACGTGAAGTTAGTAAAGCACACACCTGTATAAATGTCGCCTCCTTGGCAAATCTTCTGTGCTGTGGAAATAACTGGGGGAAAAAAAAGTCAAAAGGCAATTGTATCATTAGAAGGGTGTTTACAAGTATCTCATACAACAACATCTTCATTCATATCGCCATTTGCCTGATCTTGCAAAGGCAAGGAAAGTTGAAACTTAATTAGAAAAACATAGAGAGACACATCCCTGCAGAGGCTCAAGCAAGTACGTCGTAAGCTGCACTTCAGATAAAACAAACATGGAAATGTTTGGGTCCTAGACGGGTCGTGTCAGCAGATCAAAAAGGATCAAGTGATTAAGTGAAAGACCTTCACATTTTTACCTCAAGATTTATGGCTCAGAATTTCCTTTAAACACCTTTCTTTTTTCTCTAGAACCAGACTTTACTTCTCTGACTGCTTTTTATGCTTTGCCCAGCTAGATAGCTAGCCGGGCTCTGATGCGAAGCCCACTGAAATGTCCTCTTTGAAAAAGGGACTTGGACTTTCAGGGGAGACAGAGTATGAAGTTGAAGAATACTTCATTGTCCTTGTTTTGTGCTGAGACTGTGGTGAACAGGCTAAAGAGCGAAAGCCCTGTTGAGTGGTGACGGGTTCTGAAGGTAACAGAGAGGTGCTGCTGGAGTTGGCCAAACGCCGTCCAACGCGCAGGGTCCAGACTGATCCTGCAGATGCATTTCATGTGAATAATGACAGACCACGGGAGCATATGTAGTGTCTGTGGGGCGAATTACATGTCAGGCAGGATATTCAGCCCTGCCGAGCTGCTTCCAATAAATTGCACGTGCCTAGATGTACATTTCGATTGCACAAATTGTAAAAACTTACTTTTCTGCTTTACTGGCCAGTTAAAATGCAAATAAGACTTCGGTGCTAGTTTGCTACTTAGCTTTGCCAAGTGCTAATTGTCCTGTACTGAAGGTATTGGTAATTGAGGGCATTCAAACCCTTGAAGGAGCATCGTGCTCTTAATGATCATTCAAAGTTTATCATATTCCAGAGACTCTTTACTCAGCTTTCACTGACCTTAAGGAACCGAGAGGTGAGAGCCTTGTGTCCACCTGAAACTTTTCCTGGGAAGGAATTTATATGGTATTTGATTGCAGAAAGCCTTCCAAACATTTTCTTACGTAATTTCTTGAAATGTATTTTAAAAAGTAAACATTTACAGACATTATTTTACAAGCATAAAGGGCAAGTGTGAAGAAGGGGTTTTTTTTGCTGTTCTAGCTAAATACTTTTTTTATAATGCATTGATATTTTTGCAGGTCAATAAACAATTCTTTCTAAAACTGAATATCTAGGTGGTCAATGAAAATATACTTCTTTCCTTCAGAGATTAGTATCAGAAGTTGCAGCAGAAGAAATAACTGCTCTACACCAAAGTATTTAATAGTCACAGAAAGAGAGGTTTGAACTCTACAGACAAAATCAAAGTAAGACAAGATATACGCAGTGGTGTAAGAGGTTAAGCCAAAATGGAGACAGTTTCTCCTGCTCTCTTACCTCCACCTCCTTACGCTCATACATTTCAGATGTATACACAACACCATTGTAACTAACCTTATAGTCCTGGGCTAAAGAAAGGAAGACTGATTTGTCAGACCGAAGTTTACTTACATTTTATGCCTCTTTTCATCATATGCCAATATCTTTGTGACATCCCAATCGCCAGATGTGATAGACTGTAAGTTGTCACTGCTACTATTGGGCTGCCAGAAAGAAAAGAGAATTAGATTTCTTTATTCTTAAAAAAAAGATATCTGTGCATAGAATCATTCTCTTCTGAAAAAGGGAGCTCTTTTGAGTCCATTGCATATTAAAAATAAACCATGCATCTGCAATTTCCACTCCTCCCCCTGCTATTTCTGTGAATCTGCAGGCATAGAAATAATAGAGAGTCAGAATCATCTTAACCATAACTCCACTGAAGATAATGGGATGAATTCAGCACAGAATAGCTTCAAACACCTTGCTCTAATCCAGCACACCCAACAGCTTCTGATTAATCCTTTATGGCAGTGCAGGGATTTACTTATTTAAGTACAACTAAGAAGGCATTAAAAAAAACCCAACAAAGCAATGATATTGTTTGGAAAGGGACAGTTGGCTGACCTTTTTCTTCTAAGTATCTCATTTGGAAATTCGTGTTATCTTATGCCCAATAAAGCATGATTGAAGGTTTTCTTTTATAGACAAGACCCACATTCTACATTTGCACCTTCTAGACTCACCGGTACAAACACACATATTATTTTTTATTGCTTTCTGCTTCAGGTGAGACCCAAAGCAGCAGCAGTGAGTGAGTCACCTGTGATGATGACATGGCGATGTGGTAGAACTTCCCACGTCCTCCCTGGGGAATGGCTCGGACAAAGAAAAACTTCCGACCGTCCTTGGAAAAAATCGGCTCTTCGTTCTGTAAGTGGCAAATTTAAGGGTGGTATTACCGTTGATTTATTGTATTTAAAATTGCTCAGCACTGCAAAACCCTATGAAATTAATTCACAGTTAAATAGGGAGTGCTCTTTAACAGCAACCTGAGCCAAACAAAAAGCCCACCGAAAACTGGAGAAAGTTTAGAAGATTATTGCTTCTTGCTCTGGGGAAAGCAGACACTTTTCAAGCGTGGGAAGACAGAGAGACAGGCAGCAAGGACAGTTCCTTGGCTGTAATGTCAATTCCCATTTGCAAAGCAAAAAGTACACATACACAGCTGCCTGCTCAGGGCAGTTGGAATACAGCCTTTAGAAATGGTTTGAATCTCACTGGCACAAGTACGACAAACCCTGTTTACTCTGCCAGAAGAACTGATCTGTTCCTGTCCTTGAGGAACCACAACTAACAGTACCTAACTGCTGTCTTTTCCTACTCTCTGACAAATGTTTATTTCACTGAATTATTTACGAAGGGGAGGGTATCTTGCAAAACTGTCTTTGACACAGAGCTCCCAGGTGAATGTGATGATTGACTTTTATTGGGTGACTAGAACTCTCAACCAGAGATAGAAGAGAGTCAGCAGAAGGAAATGAAACACCACATATGACAAGCAAATATTTCCTGGAAGGGTCTTTGTCTTCTTTTTGTACAGGAACCCCGAGGCACACGGGAAGTCTCCACCTCAGGAGACGGTTGAACAGCAGATTGCAAGGGACAGCAGGGGATGGTCCATATGGTGTGACACAGGAGCACTGTACCGAGGGAACTGGCTAGATGAAACTCCTCTACTCTGAATCTTGAATAGCTGGGATTAAAACAAGAGGTCAACCTCTGCTGAACCTCTCCTGTGATATCAGGCTTTTCTGGGGACTGGCTGAGGCCAGCCTTCCGTGGCCCAGCTTTGTGGATCCTTTTTCTTCAAGGGCAGTCAACAAGGAAAATGTTGCTCAGCCTCTTCTGGGTCTCCCTTTGGTTCGGTGTTAAACAAACACTCTGGCTTTCTGCTTGGCACGTGTCGAGACACCGCACTGAACCAGCAGGAACTTGGTTGTACAGAGACGCTTACGGCTAATGCAAACACCTACAGCAAAGGAATAAACATTTTTATTTCTCACAAGCTAACACATTATTCTTACTGTATGTTCTTTTGCTCCCAGTTCTTTACTGATTAATTCTTTTCCACTTTTATCAGATTGATCCACACTGTATTAGGTGATCAAACTGTTTGTTTTTCCTTTTATTTTCCCCTGCTTATGTTTTCAATATATTTTAAAATATGCCTATTTACAGCCTGTTGCAACTCTATGAAATAATGGTTTCATTTGTTTCTGACATTGTTCTGGAACCTGAAACATGAAACTATATTATTTCCAAATGTCTTTCACGACAGGAGAAACCTCATTGAAAAACAACTGTGATAACCCGGGGAAACCTTCTGCTCGACAGGTTTTCCTTTACTGAGGTAAATAACAATAAGTTCACCCTATATTTGTGCCTACTGCATTATATATTCCAGCAGTACAGCTCTGCCAGTGAGAGCAGGCATTGTGCAGATCAGCTGAGGTTCATCAGAGGCACAGGGGAAGGAGGTAGGAAGGAGGTACACGGCGCGGATGACAGATGCGAGGCTTTAGCACTCGGCTGATGTTATGAGATGGCTTGTTTGCACGTTCCTGTTGCTGGAAGGATGACACATTAACGCAACCAGAACTTTGTTTAGGATCTTGACAGAGATGGTGACTTATCCTGGATGGCAAATGGAGGTGAGGTCAGGCTGAAAGTCTTTTGGAACAGGATTTTATACTGTAGGGAGCTACACTGGGCATGTAATTAAAATATTCTGCATGTGATACAAACAGGTTGAGCCTCTGGTTGGCTATTATTGACTGAGTCCCACAACACTAGAATAGAAGACCCCTCCTTGAAAACAACAGATCAGTTTAATGCTGGTAAAAGAAAACACTTTTCCCATGTAGCAGGTAGGGAATTTTTAGAAGTTTTGCCACAGGAGTCTTACAGAAGCAGCTGCTATCAGAAGGTGCAAAAATCAGAAGGTGCAAAAAGGGATTGAACAAACTCATGGTTCATTAACAGACCCTAAGGCGAATAGGCATGGATATAGTCTCAAATGTCTGTAATCTTTTTATTGTAGATGGTGGTGAAATATGAAATGAACTGGACTGCGGAAAGCAGCTAGCTCACACGCTGTCCTCAAATACCATCAGCTTCTGCGTCTGCTAAAGACAGAATGATGGAGCAGAGGAAGCAGTGGTGAGACTCGGCAGGGCAGTTCTTAAGTCCTTACAGTTCTCCTTGTCTTTTTGCTCAGCTCCATCTCTGTATTTAGACAAATGAATTCTACCCAGATAGTCAAGGGCAGTTTCCAGAAATCCTCTGCTTTGTGCAGATGAAGGACAAAACCGTCCTCATGTCAGCTACACATAGCAATAACTCAGTGCTCACAGACTCAGGTACAAGGGGGAAAAAAGGTAAGGTAACTCTTGTATGATTCCACAGCACTTTAAATTAAAGCTTAAATCTGATAAGTAAGTGTAGGAGGAAGGAAATATGAAATAGGTGGTTGGAGCTAAGGACTACCCCGTCATCCTCAGAGTTGAAGGAATAGTCACCAAACAAAGGATGACCCTGTGGCTGGAGAAGGAATTGGTGGGACTAACCAGCCTGCATTGCTACCAGTAAAGTGAAGAGACAGCAACTCCATTTCCAGAAACCTGCTTATTGCCATGTATCAAAACGATGCCACCAAAGACTTCAGCTTTTGTGGAAGAGACAAGATGATGGGAGGTTGCTGGAGGGCACCGTGACTCCCAGCAGGATCAATGCTGGAGTTCAGAGCTGCACAACACAGGTCAGTGTATCTGCAAATGTCAGGAGAAGAAGAAACCAAGGAGTGCCTCAGAGGCTTATCCCAAGTTTGGCAGAATGAAGATAAATGAGGGGACAATGCTAAATGCAGTCTGAGCTTCTGTAGGTCTTAGAGAGGGGCATGAAGTCCTGGAGTAAGGAATAACAGTTAAAAAAAAGGTGGAGTGTATTCAGTTGTGTTTGGAGAGGGATCCCTGAGCATCATGGGATCTGCAGCCACACAAGGAAGACTCCTCCAGTGAAAGAAGTCAAGGCAAATTGCATGCAGGATGGTGGGGAGTGCACTGGAATGCAAATCCTCAAGGTGCATCATGAAACATGCACTGGGACAAACATTTGAAAGGGAAATTACCCATGTTATGGTGAGTTGGAGTGTGTGAAAGCCATGTGGACTTCGCAGCTCCAAACACGACTGTCTGTGGTCTCATGATTCAAGACACTGACTGCCTCCTGCTCCTGTAGAGTGCAGTGCTTCACACGCTTTTGGCTGGGCTCCACATATTTCCTCACAGAAGTCAGTGGGAAAGCAGATTCTTTGAAATTTGGTTTTATTACTGACTGAGAATTATACTTCTATGAGGATTATGTTATTCTGATTCATCCTCAAGTTTTGAAAAGGAAACAAATTAATCTGAATAACCCAATCCTTTTCAATTGGTCCTCTGATGCATTTTCCCCTCTTCAGCACAGTCTCCTGCCCTCGCTGTCTGATTCACCTTTGCCCAGAACCCCCAGAATTAATGGTTTTGCTCTGTAGGTATTTATTTTTTCAGGGAAGTGTCTCAATACTTTAAGTGTCACAGGGCCATAGCTCTGATAGACAGATAGGTGTGACACGAATCCTTTTCACCCTTCGCCTTTTGGCAAACACTTCATTGAAATCCAACAAAGTGTTAAAAATGTGCATTGACTTTACTGTGACAATGAAGTCACCTCCTCTTTCGGGCATGGGGATAAGAAAGATCTCTTTCCATCCCTTGCCACACTCAGTCCCTGGGGCAATGCTGAGCTTCTTCCTCCATCCCTGTCCCCATGCTCATCTGTGGTTGGGTGCACCAAACCGATGGCCATCTCTGAAGGAAGGGCACCTGCACCAAAATATAGGGTCATCAACTGGAGAGGAGCCCCTGGACTCTTCATTTAAGCACCGATGACTGTGTAGCCAGAAGCTTCTTTGTTAGCTCTGGCAGATGAATTTGAGTATTTGAATTATGGGGCTCTGAGTCCTATTTCTGCTGCATCCTTTGTCTTTAGGGCAATATTAGGTCAGTTACGGGGTTGTTACCTGACAAAAGGGCTTTACAGGGTAAAAAAGTCAGTCTTGTTAGTAAGGTTCTCTAAACTCTGTTTTTATTTTGAACATCTCATTTCATACCACTATTAACTGCATCTAAGAATCGTTACTGGGTTATCGTGCCGTCAGGATTAAGGCAAGGGAGTTGTAAAAGAAAAATGATGTGAGGTTTTCAACATCTCAACCTTTTGACAGAGCAAAACTCTTTACTTTCAGACTGAGGTGATCTGAAAGACTAGTGAAATAAGAGGACTGGAAAGAAAAATGCAACCCAAAGGACTGTTATCAGGGGAGGCCAGCCAGCCCATGCAGACAGTTTTGGAGGTTATATGTCTGTAAACAAGTTTGTGGTAACCTCCTGGTCCTGCCATCAGGACATCAATGTCAAAGCCTACAGCCCTTGGTGGAGTCGGAATTGCCCCCTGGTTTATAATTAAATTTGTCCAGGCCACATTCACAATTATATAAATAAACCAATTAAAATGCCAGTAAAATTTATCTCCAGCAGGTGATAATCTCCAGCTCAGAAATTGTCTTATTTCTCCTTTGCTGACTCATTGTCTGTATATGACTGTCACTGGCACTACTGGAAATTGGCTTCTTCACAAAAATTGAAACAAAATTGTTTACAGCTACAGTTACTGTTCTAAAGAATTTGTATATTTGAGCAAAAGTACGAGTAAAGTTCAGTCTGGCTCTTATGCTCAGAAGTGCACAAGCAAGTACATAAATAAAAGTAGTAAAAACTTCCAAAGTCCCTAGGCAATTTTGGGGAACATGTGCCTGTTCTTCTTTGTGCAAAAGGTTTGAAAACACTGGCTGTATCACCCGACAAGGAGTGATGGCTACTTTCCAGCAAAACCTGTGTAAATACTGTATATTTCTCATTATACTGTAAGTAATTTATCCTATTTTTCAGCTACACAGACAGTAACAGCAGTATTTCTCCTTGCCTGTGTTGGAGAGAGGCTCTCCAAACATTCTGGACTTGAATAAAATTCATTAATGAATTTAAGCCCAGAAGGGAACACAAGATCATACACTATGACCTTCCATGCACAGACTATTAAATGTCACTGAGTTACCAAACTACTACAACAACAACAACAAACTGCAAATTCATGGGTCATACGCCCTATCGCAGATCTTCCAGTGTTTCAGCTGAAAAAAGTCAACCCTATCATCCTTGGAGACTCCTTCAAGTCCCTGGTAAGTACCTTCTGATATCGATGTTTTTCTCTCCTTGTCTCCTGCTCCCAGCCTACTGTGAAGTTTGCTCCTCTTCCAGGAAGACCACATGCACTTAAATTCACAAGAAAAAGGTAAAGCTCCTGTATGCTTTTCGAACCAGGTGTATGGAGTACTTTGAAGGAGTATTTTAAAGAATGAAGCAAGCAGTTAGATTCCTCTGTCCTAGTGATTTAAAATTGGGGTATTTCTGAAAAGGAGGTCTGGTCAATGAGCATACAGAACAAGCTGGCCAACCAGGCAATGAGCGTCTTCTTCAGGGTGGGCTGAACCATATTCAAGGCCCATTGAACGTGTGACCACGCTGCTCACCATACTGGTTGTCTACAGAGGGCAAGTGGGCACCTGGCTCATATGCATATTCCTACATTAAAATGCCTCAAACAGGGAGCCTTCATCCTGAGCTGAGTCACACTCCTGAGCAACTTCAGTAGCTGCTTAATGTACGGTTCATCTCCTCCTTAAAGAGGTTAGGGGACCCACAGTAGCACGTAACATTTTCACATCATTCTCATAGTCAGACACATACGCCATGAAAATAACTTCCCACTTATCTAGATTAATGTGTCATAGAGTAAAAGGTAAATACAGAAAATAGAATTATCCTAGTAATAATATATTCAGTCAAAACTAGAATTTTAAGTAATTTTGTTGTCAGAAATACAGGGGAAAGAGCTCTGTAATTTTTCAGACTCTTACAAAAGCTTTCGAAGGGTTCTATCAAATGTCTCCAAAGTCCACAGCCAATGTTATCTTAGTTTAGTACTGAGATGTCTGACTCATTTGGCTGTAATGACGAACATCATTCTCCAACCTCAAATCAAGTATATGATGTTTGGAGATGCAGTAAAGCAAACTATACTGCCCTGGAGCAGGCCTGCTAGAGACTGACGGATCATTTACTGCAGCTATTCAGGACAAAGCACCGTCTTTTAATACCCGTCCATGTAGTAAGGACTAAAGAGCAGCAGCAGTGTAAACACACAAGTTCTACTACACTGCATTAAGGGAGGTCCCAGTAAATAGCAGTGAGAGGGTTAAAACTATCCTTAGATGTATAAAATAAATGAATCCCGTGAAGTACTGTGTTTTTTTTAAAGATACAAAATATGTACAGTTTAATTTTCTCTTGACTCAGCTTGTCTTTGAAGCTTTTGTTTTATACTCAAGTCAACACTGTCCTTATGAATGTAAAGAATACTTCAGCAGCATTTTTACTCTATACCCGAGTATACCAGCAAAAGCTTATTTTAAATGCTTGGAGCACAAAATCTATTTCCTCTGTAAAATCATTTTTTATCTGGATCAGACATAGCCTGTTGCTGTATGACAGCCACTGGAACAGAGGAGATCACTGTTCTTGCTGTGAACTGATGTTCTGCAGTTTCTACAGGTTCTTGGATCCTCTGAACAAGCAAAATGTGAAATGTTTTAAATCTGAACTTGGAAAAATATACAAGATCTTTATCTGACATGCTACTCCCTGTCTGGTGTTCACATATCCCATGAAAAACAGTTCAGTGTTGTGGCTGAATTGGTATCAGCAGCTTCTCTCTAAAGAACAGCTTAATCAAATCTGAGGTCACTGCACAAACCGACTGCTGGGGAAGTGTTACAAACGATCTTCCAAAGATCTGCATGCTGGACATCCAGAGGTTTTATATAGACATATGTTAAAAAAAAAAAAAGAAAAATCCCATAAATCAAAACTTCTTGGGAGTTTAAATTTTCTATCTTATTTTCTATTTTTTTTTTTGCAGGGTTTATTTTCATCTTTCTTTTATTTCATTTGGGGGATGGAAGCACGTAGCCATACAATGTAATAGCATTATGCACAAGTTTCGGTGTCAGAAGAATTATGTGACACAGTTGTCTGCTAAAACAGCATATTAAACTGCATCGGGTAGTTCCTCCCCACTCTGTTCTCCATGTAAGCTTTCATCGTTTTAATTGCCCCATTGACATTTTAATGTTATTTTTCACCTTTCTTGCGTGTGCAAATAGCTGCAGAGTCACATAGCTAATTTTGTCAAATTTGGCTTAAATGACTTGAAAGTCCTATCTATCTGCACGATTTTTCCTCTAAATGGACATAGCCACTTTTAATAAAATCATGTTTGATCTTCTGTTTTCAACAGTGGACATTTTTCCTGTCTAGAAGACGAGAAAACAGCCACCGTACTGCTTAAAATCATCCTCAGTCTCAACATATGGTATGAAGCACTACCTCTGAGGCTGACCAGTCTCACACAGATACTATCAGTGCATGAATTTCCACCAGCATCAGCTTTTCTCCTCTTTTAAATACAAGTAAATAGCAGGGTATGTGGGACCGACCAGAGAAGATGGCATCTTCAAAAAGAAGAACTTGTTTATTACTGGGAAACTGTTTTCTATAATACAAAACACGACATCTTCAAGCATCTTTCTCAGGTCTGGAAATCCGTTTTTCACTTTGGGGCAAAAACAAAGGAAAAAAACCCACCAAAAACTTGACTGCAAAGAGAAGATCACTATTACCTGTCTGTGCAGCCAGCCTTCACTTTCATCTTCATGTTTCTAAAACAAAACAAGATCATTAAACACCGTACTTCACGTGTATTACATTTTACTTATCAGTGCAGGAAGCAGTCGGATTGAATCCGAAGAGTTGTGCAGAAGCACGAAGAAACTGCTTAAATATGTGCTTCAGGAGTATAATCCGGTGACTGCCCTCCTTGTCTTTCCTGTCTGATGAATAAGCATGCACTCAGTCAAGAAAGCATTTTACTCGTGTAGACAAAACACATAAATCCACAAGATATATTATTCCCCAAAGAAATAAAGCTCGGTAAGAAGCAAATAAAGGTTGAAATAAAAGTTGTTAAGAAAAGATCTGCGCTGGGCTCTATGCAAAGTATTGCATCACTTTTTTGAAGGGATAGATATATCAGAATACTTTTCTACTGTGGAAACACCTACGCCAGTTTAAAAGATGGCATCTGCTAATACTTACACAGGTTATACCAACAGGCCATTTACATTAGTATGTCTATAGAAGGTATTAATTAACTAAAATGAAATTGTGGACAGATGAGCATGAGCCATTTTTAATGCCATCTGCCATTATATTTCATGCCATTAAGTATATATAATGCCATTAAACTAGGACGTTGCAAAGATAGTCAGGTTATAGACTGTTGATGCGTGTGTGCTTGCGAATGTATTCGGTTATGTCAAGACAAGGAACCGCTCCTCACACACATGCGCACACACACGGAGTGTGTGCAGGCACACACCCTTCCCGGCTTTTTAGAAGCTGTAAAAAAAAAACCAACCCATGAATATTGCAAACTTTGTACAGATTCTGCATCTGCCCCAATAAATGCGTGCCAACTGCCTTGCCGCCAGGTAAGGTAACTGAAATACTTTCTCCTTGCGAGGGTTAGGAAAACCGACGGCAAACGCCCATTTGGCTCATCTCTCCTACCTTTGTGCAGACGCCCGTGGTGGCATCGCAGAGCGTCAGGATCGACACGTTCTGGGCCCTGTTCAGCCAGTTTACTGCCACCTTGGTGCTGGTTGCCCATTTCACCATGGTTATGTAGTAGTCCCTGCAAACGCAGACACACAAAACCAATCACAATGCCGACAGCCTAACGAATTGCCGCGTGGCGGAGCGGTCGGAGGCTGCTGCGGGCAAACGGTCCAGGAGAGATTTCTGGTTATTAAGAACGCTGCGTCCCGATGTCTCTAGGCTTCCTTCTGTGTGGATTTCAACCCCTAAAAATGACATTTTTAGGGCTGTACAGGTGTTTTATCTGCCACTTCTGAAAGTCATTTTCAAAGAAGAGACAAATACAGAGATAAAGAATCTTTCAAGCTGTTCCATCTTCCAAGAAGGACTGAAATGCCTGGAGCTACAAATTTATGCACAGGTGGAAAAGAAATTGCGAACAATTCCCATTCTGAGCACACTAACTGGCTGACTCAGACCCGTCGCTGCCAATGGTTGGATTCTTTATGTTTATGAGGAGTTAATGGCCTCCAAACAAGCCTGCTTGCACACCAAAATATCCACCAGTGTTGCACTGAAAGGAAAATAGCAAGAAGGATAGAGTTGAGAGAGACACAGCATTTCTGCAAAGCAGATGCAGCTGGTTGTCACAAAGACTTGAGCAGAGACGTGACAGTCTGCACTGCCAAAACGGCCGTCCCGCACTCCCTGTACCACCCGCTATTGCTGGATATCTTCAGGTTGTGATACCACTTGGAGTACATCAGCAGCGTGGGCTGCACACTGTCGTCAGTATCTTGCCCTAGAAAACATGGGAAAAGGTCTGTGCGATAGCGAGCAGTGGAACTACTTAGGCTGGGCTGGGCTGGAAAACACATGAGCACAGATAAATACACCGATGGTCGCCTTCTCCGAGTCAGCCTGCGGTGGCACTCCCAGATGTCCACCTCTGCAGCAGTTCAGCGCTTCACCACTTTATCAGTGGGGTAAAACTCTGGCTGAGCTGACAAAGCTGGTGAAGTTGTAATATACTGCTGTGCTATGAGGGCCAAAGCCATTCTTAAATTGTAATATGACTTCTCAGAGCATGCAGTCTATAAAAAATTTATTAGTTCATTTGTTTGCTATAAAATATGTATAAGGAATTGTTGCTCTCATTGGAATTAATGTGCTGTGTCACTGGAGAGTGCTTTGTGTTCTGGCAAGTGCTCCTGCATATACTGAAGGGAAAGGGCAAAAGCAACAAAGGCCTGTTTGTCTAGCAAAATAACAAGTTGGAAATGGATTTTGTAGCTTTTGGTAACATTTAGTGCCCAAATACGGCTGGTGAAAACTAACAGAAGACCTCAACAATTGCATCCAATGCACTGGAAGGAAAGATACTTCCAGGTGAGACAACAGCCGTCTGAAAATTCAGTGCCTGAAATAAAATTGCAATTTTACTCTTCTTCAGCAACAGCACAGGCCCTAAGAGAAAAAAAAAAATTAAAAGAAAAATTAAACTGTATAACCATATCTTCTTTCTCTCCAAAATTAACTGAGCAAATTCAGTCTCCGCAGAAAAGGAATGTGAATTTACTACATATTGTGGCTTGGAGCATTTTTTCCATAAATCCAATTTAAAGTTTGAAGAACGTATATTCAGTTTTCACATCCCCCTTGCTGTTTTAACACAGAAGCCACAGTTCTTTCTCAAGAACTTTTAATTATTATTTTAGGTCAAACGCTATCTTCCCTACCACCCCAGTGATGGGCATGGAGTCTCAATTTCTCTCTGAAGCCTCTCCCAGCCATCAAGCCCATGGATACACCAGCCAGCAGATAACTGCAGATACTTGTGTAGTTATTATTCTAGTCCCAGAGTAGTGTGGAGTCTTTAATTTACTTTACTTCACATCTCTTCTGTAGGGCAATCAAGTTTTACGTTTGCCATTTTGCAGAGGAAAATGAGACAATAAGGTGTGATTCATCTCCATTAATTTTAAACATCTGCCGCTCCGGCAGCTGCACTGGTTGAGCAGCCAGTGGAGAGAAAAGGGGAGTCTTTGCCTGACCCGTCCCAATTTTCTACGGAGCTGATTTAACGAGAACCTATGTCTTCCCATAGCGTGAAATCTAGACTAGCAGGTACCCAACCACTTCATTTGTAGGCATCCACATCAGAGCAGGTAACACTCTCCAAAGGAAAGGAATAACTTGTCTGAGCCCCTTCTGGAAGGGTGCAGTTAGGCTGAGCTTTGCAACGTGTGTCCCCATCCCAGTAACGACGTTGGTGGTTGAGTTTGCAATCATCGGAGGCTGGTTATCGTGCAGCACCCTTGTTTATACCCTAACTTTACTTGACTGCTTTCTGGAGGTATGAATCTAAACTATGAGGTATGAATCTACAATATGAACACTTAAAGGATGATAACAGTAGTAAAGCCATAAACACCACAAAGAGCAGACAGTGATATATTTTGTGGCCGAGCAAGAGGCAGCAGCCCAGACCATGGTCCCCGGGGCACAGACGGCTCCTGCCTCTGGTCCACACTCCAGTTGTCTGAGTTTCTCCATTATTTATTTGTTCATGACCTATGCGAGGACCAGTGACAGTTTCTGCACTCGGAGGAGATAACATCTTTGTTTAATTTGCCAGCTAAGGTGCAAACATGACATAAGAAAAAAGTTGGATCGCGGTCCAATTCTCACCACCTGCTGATGTAACACTTGGAGCTACAAAGTTTTTCACCAAAATAAAAAATGCCTTTCAGGCATTTAATGTTAGAATACTTTCTTTTTTTTTCTTTCTGCAATTCCCCCCTCCACTCTCACTTAATTTCCTTTTTCTCACAGAAAAGTATGACATTTGAGAAAATTTGGCAAAAATGCTCAGAATGAAAGATTTTACAAAAGGAAAAAATATAAAAATCCTACATTTCCCCCTCAAATATATTTCACCATCAACAGATTTTCTTCTTTTTTACACTGAAAAAAAACAGTTTTGTGGAAAATTTCTGACTTTCTTTAATTCTGAAAGACAGACAGACCCTGGCATACCTCCACTTTATGCTCAGCTTTCTTAATTGTACTAAACCACTTTGCTCCAGATAAAAAGAACACCAAGAAGTACCGCTCTGTCCATATGACATCTGCATGAACAGATCAAACACATCGAAATGCTTCAGACAGGACCGCTCTGCTTGAAGATCCTTAGCACCAGCTTCCCCTCCTCCTCCTAACGCACTCTGGGGTACATCCCTCTTGTCTTTTTTAATGACATGTAATCACAGTAATCCTCTCATTTCAGAAAACATATGCATAATGGAAATGCACCCCTATTGCTCTAGCAGCACTAGTTATATCATGCCCTAGGGATGGAAATTGCCACGCTTTTGATGAACTATACAGAGACTAATTAATTATGATATATTTTGCATCGTTTTAAAATATTGATTGCAACCAAATAACCACATAGGACAAATTTATTAACAACACTTGGATCTTGCAGTCTGAAGTTATTACTATAATTAAAATGTTTCCGAGTCTCTGTTTACAGAGTATGCTAGTGACAGAAAACTGGTATTGTCCAGGAGCTGCAGTTCTGATCCTGTGACTGGGATACCGTGATCCTGAATTGCTGCCTGCTGCGTACGGACCTGAAGTTGTATTTTTGAAAGACAAGTGCATTTATGCCCATTTTGTTTGGTCACAAGTCATACATCTTTTGTGGCATATATGGATCTGGAGTATTTTAGAATTATTCAGTGAAAGCACGTTCTAAGGCTGACACCAATGTGCTTTCCTAGCAAAGAAAGGCAACTCCCACCATAAATAATCCCACTGGTTTAGTATCCTCTCATCAGATGACTACACAGCCTACCCACAGGCCCTATATATTTACCAGGTATAATAAAGATCACCCCTGCAGCCCCCCTTGCCCTCCAAGCTGCCCTGTTTCATTAGCTCTGTGCTCTACCTCTGCCTTTATTGGCACTGGAGTTACAGATCCAGCAATCTAATTTAGCAATTAGTAGAAAAAGGTGAGCATGAGCGTCGGTTGGACGCTCCTACACGGACCAGTGATGTGCCTGGGAAGGGTAATCTTGCGGCATTACATCTGGAGGGGTCACTATGGATACTGTAGGTGTAGAAGCAGAGTCTGATTTCTCTTGGCCTGCTATAAAGCTATTTCAAGTTTAAATCAAAGTTGATGAAATCTGGATTTGGATTCTAATCTCCGAGCTTTGCAGGGGGGAGTGCCATGCATTACCTAAAGCTGTTTCTGTCTTGAACAACGTGATCTTCCTTTCAGCTCTTCACAGACCCATAAACATCGCTCAAGATTTGACCACACGCTGAAGTCCGAGCCAAACTTCTAAACTCCTGCTGAATGCAGACTTACGCACTTAATTAGAAATGCCAACTGGTGTCTGAGTAGTTGGCTGAATTGCAGGCCAACTTCTAAAACACGCTTGCCCTAAAAACAGCACAGAGCTTTCCTTTCTATTTTTAATGAAGACTGGGCAATATATTTGCAGAATGTCCAGCTGGTTTCATTCCTGTGTTCATGTCATGAAGCAGTGAGCTTGTGTTTGCTGTATTACAGGGCTGCCATGTTTCTGCTTCATGGTCTTTCATACAGGCTGCAGGCAATATCCCCTTTACAATGCCAGCGGTTACACAGTGTAATGAATGTGTTATGGATTTTGGGACGTTCTGCCAAGTTGTCTAAAAATAAGCTTACAGAGAAGTTAGTCTGGGCCACAGCGATTTCAAGTAAAAAATGAATAATGTTCTATAAAAATACATGTAAGAAGAAAAATAATTTGAAAAATTTTAAACGTATTTACACAAAATGAAACTCCTTGATGTTGGCAGAGAAAGGCACTGTAAAATGATCTTAAAAAAAGTCAGAGACTGATTTAAATCCCTGACAGAAACAGGGTCCAGCATCCCAGGGCAAGAAAGAACTTACCTCATTCTCTGGTCGTCTGGGGGAGTCATTTCCAGGTCATGAGTAGGTCCGTTCAGACCAATCACATGCAAAGAAATAGTCGGATTTTCCATTCCAGCCTGGATTTTAAAATAAGAATAAATTACCATATCTTAGACAACACAGAATGGTTTTGAATTATCACTTTATAAACCCCAGGGATTATAAAATGCATTCCCATTGTATGAGGCTATGGACTGGACTGCTGCAGTCGTTCACAGGAGAACTGCATTTGCAGTGATGTGGCACAGAGGTATGGAGGGGTTGGTAGGCACAACCGAGGGGTAATTTTACTTAGGACACCTCTAGCCTTGGTAAAAGATGCTCCTTTTCACGGTGACTAGAAATACTGATATTTCACGTGCCTTCTCGTAAAAGGTTGTCTGAGAGGATGATGGTAGACACAGTAAAACACCGAGTCATTTTGTATTGTAGGAAAGGGCATCCCCTGCTGAATCACCGTCACTTCCCACAAAACCTGCGTATACATGGATAACTCTCCTGTTAAATTATGGTTCCATTTGGACCAACAAGTGAGGTCTTAGGTAATCAGTGCATGAAGCGAGACACCCAGAAGAAATGACTGCAGCACAGTAGACTTGGGTACTGTCTCAGAGCAGAAAATTGCAGCCATAACAGCAGCAGTGTGTCGATACGGGCAGAGCGCGGTGTCGGTGCGGCGTAGCCGCTGCAGGACTGCTGTACAGGTCTCTGCGATCAAGGAGAGATTGGTTCTGAAGTCTGTCCTGTCCCTCACTGTGTTCTTTGTCATGCTCAGGAGCAACACGTCTCCAAACTATCTCCTCTGACGTTAGGCCATCCTGCATATTCTACGGAAGCCCAAATACTACATTTTCCTTCTATATAAAAGGAAATGGATCTAAATGTAGTAGTGCTGGCTTCCAAACTCTCAGACACCTGTCTAGCATGGAAGCAAAATTGCTTTCATCTGGTTACAAAGCAAGAATTTTTAATTTTTGTTTTAATTATATTTAGAATGAATGACTAATACTCAAATCAGAAAACTGCAATTTTACAAATGCAGCTAAAGGGTAATGAAGACCACATTCACTGGGGAACAGCTGATCTTCCCTTAGATCTGTTTAGTTTCATTCCTTATCAATGTGCACTATTCTACAGCCTCCTGTTTGAGCCTACTGGAAAAAAATATTTTTTTGATACAACAAGAATGCTTGTTTTACTTTCCCTTACCTTTGGATAATGATACGTTTTAACAGTAGGGTAAAGGCTGCCTGTGTATACTGGGATCTCCATGGTGGGGACTCTGGAGGCATTGATTGTTGCATATGCTAGCCTGGTCCCATCAGGAGACCACCAATGCGCAATATGAGTCTTCAAGATCTCTTCTATTAAAAAAAAAAAAAGGAGAGGACAGAGGGAAAAGGCTATTAGATGTAAATTACTAGTTAGCAATAAATGAAACAGCATAGATATGAAAACCCCGGTCTAATCACAGCACAGGGAAGATGCCACAGGAATATAAATTAAAAACACTCATTAAATTATGCCATATGCACAAATGAACACAATTGAGAACAATTACTCTGAATATACAGATTATTAAGAATAATTATCTTGTTCAAGAAACATCAAATTATTCATATTGGTACACATATTCATGAGAGCATAAAAGGCCCTGCTGCTCCTACTATGTGTCATGTAGACGGATACGTGACCGCATACACGTGCGTGTGTTGGCAGAGCTGGGGTTCCTACCTGCCCCATGGTGACATACCCGAGGCTCCCTCGGGGCCAACGGAGAACTGCGACGGAGATTTAGTTCTCCAGAAAGAGCTCACAAAGTCATACCAGACACATGTCAATGGATTCAAACTGTGTTCATATGTAGATATAGGCGCTTCAGCTACAGTTTAAATCTTCCTAACCTCTGGTGCTGGTTGGGAATAAACAAAAATAACAATTTTCTAGAAGTTATACAGTGCTGGAACTTTGTAGCACTTTACAAGATACCAGGCTTTAGAGTCGGTGACTTGGATTCCATCTTGACTCTTACCCCTATTTCATTTTTCAAATCACTTTTTCAAAGCCATAGTCCATAAATGGACAAATCACTTTTTCAAAGCCAGAGTCAGAGACTGATCCTTTTTACCACTGAATTTGGGGATTCCAGATTTTTTGGTGATTTGAATGTGGTTGCTAGTGAAAAGGTACTCAGAAAGGTGCCAGCACAAACATTTCAGAGTGCAAGTATATAAGGAGAAAACAAGATTGCCTTCATAAGAAACTATTTTGAAGACTGGCAGAACATAATTCTCATTAAACACAAATTCAAAGAACTTTTAATTTCTAATACTGTTTCTTATAATTTAATATCCTTCATTGTAAAGATGACTTCAGCTTGTAGATATCCAGAAAAGCTATAAAATTCGCTCTTTGTCCAAAGTGTCTCCAGTTACTGACATTTGGAAGACACTAACGTGGCTTTTTAAACCTCCCATTTTGCGAAAGGCAATAATGTAATCCATTTTCATTAAGAGGCTTAATATCACATGAGTCATTCTTATTTAAACCGTAGCACAAGGGCTTGCATATGCTGTACAGATTGATGGGCAGGAAGACAGGTCCTATTACTTTAATGTGTGAATAAGGATTAAAAAGGCTGCAGAGTGCTTCTAAGCCTGTACCATTAAAGTCCAGCTACACAAGTCCAAGCAGTTCCAACATCTGCTGTTATCACCGGTCACTGTAAAAACAAATGAGGATTTTCAGAGTTCAGACCCACTATGTTTGTACAACACCCGGTGATGACCCCTTGATCCAACCAAAATGTACTCAGCACTGGTGAGGCTGCACCTTGAATCCTGTGTTCAGTTTTGGGCCCCTCACTACAAGAAGGATGTTGAGGTGCTGGAGCATGTCCAGAGAAGGGCAACGAAGCTGGTGAGGGGTCTGGAGCACAAGTCTTATGAGGAGTGGCTGAGGGAACTGGGGTTGTTTAGTCTGGAGAAGAGGAGGCTGAGGGGAGACCTTATCGCTCTGTACAACTACCTGAAAGGGGGTTGTGGTGAGGTGGGTGGTCTCTTCTCCCAAGTAACCAGCGATAGGATGAGAGGAAATGGCCTCAAGTTGCACCAGAGGAGGTTTAGACTAGATATTGGGAAAAATTTCTTTACTGAGAGAATGGTCAGGCATTGGAACAGGCTGCCCAGGGAGGTGGTGGAGTCACCATCACTGGAAGTATGCAAAAAATCTGTGGACGTGGCACTTTGGGACATGGTTTAGTGGGCATGGTGGTGTTGGGTTGATGGTTGGACTTGATGATCTTAAAGGTCTTTTCCAACCTTAACAATTCTGTGATTCTGTGTCTCTCTGGTCTGAAGAGTAGGAACTCACCAAAAACTGCCCTATTTCTTTTTTAAAAATCTTGAATGAGTGATCCTTGGAGAACAGATAGACAATTATATTAATCATAGATCACACGAACACCTTTGTTACTCCAGACTTGCATATAGCTGGAGATAAAACTCAAGGAAGCATTAGAAAGGGTGCAAGGGAAAACCACCCTTGACAGTTACAGTTTCTACAAATAACAGATTAATACTTCAAGGCGACATCAAAGTGAGGTTTCGGAAAGATGTCTAGGAAGTTGCAAATATTACACAGGAAAGCACATCTCTGGCAAATTTGCTTTGCTGCATTGTCCCACCGGTTGTGTGCACATTTAAAAGATCCTGCTTTTGACTTTTATATTTGTTGCTCATTAAAGAGACAATTAAGACTATAAAGGAAAAGGAGTAAAAATGGTTGGCAGATGAATACTTGACATTTTAACATTAATTAGGAATGACTTTATTCAGCAAACATTTTCTCCAGGATCTCATACTTAATGAAGCTGAAGGTCACATGCAAGAAAGGTTTCAGTGCAGGTTTTGTAGTCCTCTGTTAATGAGATTTAATTGTGTGAAACTTTGCCTTGAAAAAAAGCCAGGACCTTGCCATTATTAGAGAGAGCAGTTAGTTTTAGGAAACCAGAGAACATTCTTATGAAATATAAAATGCATAAATACCAGAAAGTTTCAGCTGAAAGTAAAACACAATTTGCAGACTATTTGTTCTTGGGGATACTTTATGCTTTGCGCTTGCATTTACCACATGCTCAGAAAATCAGCTCCATTCAATTCTCCTGGGTCTTTCTAAAGTCAGTTCAGAACCCACTTCACATATATAAGAAAGCAGATTCTCTTTAAACTCCAAGGCCACACTCCACATATACCTCCTAGCTAAGAGTACAAAGTGATAATTCATCTAAACTTTTGCTCTCTTCCTCAAGGTTTGCAGTTTCTGGGTCCTACATGACGTAGGGATGCTGAGAGTGAGCTGTGGAGATTCCTCACAGTCAGTTAATGGTGTCTCTGTGCTGCTTCTTTCTCCACAGCTTCGCTTGCCAGCCATCACACTGGGGCATGCAAACCCCAAAAATCGTGACAATGAAGTGTGCAGTTGCCTTAACTGAACAAGGACTGTTCAGACTTGGTGGTTGGGTTCAAGCACAGTGTCTGAGGCAAGTCAATGCAGCCTTTGTCCATCCTCAGTCATAGTTGTGAATCATGCCTTTCTGCTGAAGGTGGCAAAGTTCTGGCTTGCTGTTTGGGAAAGGATGAAGCCTTCACCAATGACTGACTGAGAAATCCATTGGGAGCTTAGAGGTGTCTTTAAATTTTTGAATTCACCACAAATAACTTGTCATTTTCAAATGTGAGTTAACAGAAACAGAGACCTGCAAAAGAAGATGAGGATGCTCGGACAGACCAGTCCTCTGACAGGTACCATTGCAATCCCTTTCTATCACTTCCAAAAAAAAAAAAAAAAAAAAAAAAAAAAGAATATGATGTCAGGAGGGAAAAACTAAGAAAAATGAATAAAGGAACAATTTAAATAATATTCAAGTGAAAAAATATATTTGTTTTTCTGTCATCACAGTCAACAGAAGCATATAGCTATATGAGCTGTACAACTCACCCACCGAGGCTATATATATTATAAGCATCAACACCTCTGCTCCCATGTACAATGAAAAGAGCTGAAGACACCACCCTGACCAGCCACTTTCCTTTGGCCACCTGCAGGCTTCTGCTCTGTGCAAGGCAGGACCCCACCACTCCACAACCATCCTCCAGATGTGCCATGCCCACGTGTTCACATTGCCACCCCTCGTCGGCAGCGCGGTGGCAATCATACCCACAGAGCCCCGCTGGCAGTGGCACATAACGCCCTTCTACAGGAGCAAGCAAGTCAGTGAAAGGCTGGTCCTAAGAGCTTTTCAGTCTTTAACTGCTGACGTCTTCTAATAAGAAGGCCCATGAAAAATATTGCAATGAATGCAAAGAAACTAACCTTTTCCAAGAAAAAATGACTCATAGTTCCATACTGCAGTTAAACAAGAGATCTTCTGGAGATCTTCTGGTGTGTCCACCCTCCAGTGGCAAAGCCCCTTGTATTATAAGGGTGAGCTGCAGTTAACAACTGCAGTGTCATTAACTTCAAAAAAGTAACTTCCATTTATAATAGCGGAGGAGGTGTCCTTGGCGACCAAGCGGAAAGTTTTTTTTTAACTGCATCTAGCAGAGTAGAAGCTTTCTGCATCTCAGGAGGTCAAAATAAGCGTGTAATGGGTAGAGGCACTTAGGAGGCTTTACCTATTAAATAAATCATTTTCTTTTATACAATCAGATTTCTCCTCTTGTTCCAGACATTGCATTTTCTTCTTCAGTAGGAAATCAAAGCAATATTATTAATGTTGTGCCCACAGAAGACAAAGACGGAAAATAAATAGTTTGATTGTCCTGAGTAGATATAGATACATGCACACAGACACACGCAAGCGTATCTAGTTTTCTGTCAACAGACCCATTAATTTCAGAATATTTTAACTTTCACACAAAGAATTATGCAAGATTTTGTCTGACAGAGGGAGCTTTCCCTTCTATGTTATTTATTGCCGATGCTGTAAAGTGCAGCAATTCCAGGAAGAATAATCAATGGTTTTGCTTGTGATGTATTGTAGATGATGCTCAGATTATTAAGTATTCGGTGTGCTAAAGACATTTTGCTGTTTTATTAAAACTGTTAATAAAACCAAATTTTAAACAAAATTAAATTAAAGCCTAACATAAAGGCCATGGCTTAGAAAGAAAGCTCAAAAGAATTTGTCAGTAGGAGGCATCAAAAGAACATAAGAGGAAGAGAGATCAGAGAACAGAAAGGGGGTCTAGGAAAGGAGAAAACAAAGACTTCTGAGATAGTGAAACCCCAAGGGTTCTCATAGAAACATTAAATAAATATAAATGCTTACTTGACAGCTGCCATCTGTTTTAAAATCAATTACTAGATCATCTGAAACCACCAACCACATGTCCAAGTTGATCACTATTGTACTGTTTGAAAGCAAGTATTTTTACCTGGTTCGGGAAAACACATTGCTCATATCAGCCTTCACGGGCACGTGTTTCAGGGATGGCTTTAGAAGACCACCGTGCCATCTTTCATACATACACAAGCAAAGTTTTCTCTCAGTTACTGTAATGTAGATCTATACCAACTTCCATTAAGTCATTGTAATAGGTATAAAATGGGTGTAAAAGTAGTTATGTATATGCAAATAGTATAAAACTGTTTTATATTACTATATCCAATCTACATTTTCCTGTGTTGACATTATTTTGTGCTGATGTCAGCAATAGCCCTGCAGCACTATTGATTTCATTGCAATTAATCCTCTTTCACAGTTGTCTAATTGAGTCAGGTGGAACAAAAAGTAATTTTGCAGGGCCACTAAACAATTCAACAACCTTTTGTAGAGAAAAAAAAGAATTTTTTGTCTGAGCCCAAACTCCGGGCTCAACTCGACCCCGCAGTCCCTGTATGCATACAACAACTGTTCTCAAGGTGTTCATGCCATCATCCAAGAGACCCTTACGAAAACCTGAGCTGCAACGCTCAGCCCAGTGTCCCTCTACTCCTACTCGAAACACACACCCTCCTCTGCCGCTGACAGGCAACAAGCTTGTGGAGAATAAAATATTACTTGCTTTCATGGCGTTTCTGAGGGCATGCTTTAAAGAGTGCGCTTTAAACCTCAAATACTTGATCCAAAATGCTCACCACCCGATGGCAGCAGCATTATGCAGCCATGGAGCCAGCCAGGCACGGCCCTGCCATGGGTTCCGCAGCCATCCAGCCTCGGCCTTGCCATGGGTGCAGCAGCCATGAGAAGGTGGCAGCCCCATCTCGGGGAAAGGAGCTCAGCCAGGAGATTTGCACCTCCTCAAGTCCAGGGAAGGTGTGGGCTGCAAGTGTCATTAATTTCCCCGTAGTCATGCCGTTTAATTGCTTGAACACATGTTGTTTTCTGTTCACACAGCCCTGCAGCCCCTTGCTCCTGCAGAGCATTGTGTTGAGACAGCAGGCGAAGGTTTGGCCAGCGCTTTCTGCCTCCCTGTGCTCAGATGCTGAGGGCCCGGAGGGAAGCTCATTTCAGCGGGGTGGTTCATGCCGGGCACTGAGGATGATCTCACGGGACTCTTCATGTGTTCTGCATGGTCAAATGGTCAACAAGGTCACGTCTTACCTCCACATTTCTCAAGAGCTGCTGGCATGGCCTGAGGCAAGCCAAAGCTCGGCAAACATTCAAACCTCACCAAATCTGAAGGCAAATGGGCTAGGGTCCACCTTTGCTTCTGCAAGATGGAGATGGCTCTGTGTAACAACGCCACAAGCTGCTGTGCTCCAGCAGCTGACATGTCACCTTTGGATACTCTCTGATACCTTGCAAGGACCCCTGAGGGAACAGCACAGGGATGAAGAGCAAAGACCGTCCAGCAGAGCCATGGTGCACACATCAGAGGCAGCTCTGCCAGCAAACCTGACCACTCCAACCTGGGCTCCTTATCCATAGTCCCAACTACCAACAGTACCCACCGTCGTTTCTCTGAGGACAATCTTTATGACACCTCTCCCCAAGGAGCACGATTGAGATCTTGTTAGGACAGCATCAAGCTGCTGACAGACAGAAGAGACTTTGTGACGTTACTCATCTCACCCACATCAAAACTACTGGTTTAATGCTTGTGGTTTTTTGGTTTTTTTCCCCTGGTCCATTGATTCTTCTAATTTGTTGTGTTTCCAACACTGAAAGATCATGTAGTTGTTATATGAGTCAGGGCATTGGCGTGTTGTTTACAAGGTTATCGACAAGTAGCTGCCAGACCTTCTCTGCTGAGTGCTTGAGGGCTTCAAAATGATGGTGGTATTGACTACTGGCCTGATCCTGTCCTCAGGTACATCTCCACAGCTCCTACCAAAATACACACAGGAGGCCAGGCTCAGGCTGTAATAATTAAGAAATTATGAATGTTTAAAATCCCCTTCTTTCATACAAATGGATTTGTTGACAAAAAAATCCCGAACAAAATAGATGCACACAAGTGTGTGATGTCATCTGAGAAGCACAGGGAGATTCTCACAAATAAGAGAAGAATCCAGCTATTCAGAAATGGCCAGAGGGGCCGGGGGCTCCTCCAGGTCATCTTCACTCCTGATACACTCAACTGTACAAATCCTACTTGAGGTGCAAAAGGCCATGGAGAGGGGATGTCCCTCAGACCTCACACGGACTCTGTGTCTCTGCCAGGAGCAACCAGCATCTCCCCCGCAGGTCTGGCACCCCCTCCAGAGCAACCAGGGCAAGCAGGCAGCCAAGCAAGGATGCCACATGCCCTGCACGGTGCCATACTACACTGAGGGCACACCAGCATTTGAAGCCTGCTTTGCAGTAAGCGCTGCAAAACGTAAAGGAAAATAAACACTTCTCTGGACAAACACAGCAGCACAACACTGAGTTGCCTCCATATCCTCCTTCTGCTCTTTTCAGAGGCTTCCCTTCTCTGTGCTTCTGGCTTTTCTCCCCTGTGCCCCACCCTTAGCAATCCTTAGCTGTTTGCTTTCAAAGCATTAATGATTTATGCTCACACTACCTCCTAACAATTAGCAGGTTTCCTCCTTCCATGGTGTGAGTCAGTCGCAGCCACAGTAATGGACCATCCTGGCTAGATCGACACGCAGACGCTTCATCAACACAGGCAAGTTTGTGATCCATCAGGATGTCCAGATGTAGTAATGAAAATGGGGACTGAATTATGAAAGTAGAATTATTACTTAGAGACCATATCATCAGATATTCCTGTTTCTAACACTCGCTCCAAAGAGCAAATGCATCTAAAAACCCCATCTGCAGTGGCACACTGCTGTATGCCACTAATGCCTAATAAGAATGCATTTTCCATTACCTGGCATATACGTAAACCCACAGCCTGTTGTCAGCTCTCCACGAAAGCCTGTTAGGTAGAGGCACTAAATCTGTAGAAACTTTTGCTGGCAAAAGTCTTCTGAGTAATTTGCACCGCAGCTCATCGCTGTGGGTAAATGTTCACTGCAAGGTCATACTGTACCTTTTCAATTGCTAAGGTCCTAGACAATACAGAATTCATGTTGCCCAATTGACTGGATGCAGTAGTGCTCCTTATAGTAAAATCCTTTTTTTTTCATTCTTTTTTTCCCCTGCTGTCACTTAGCAGGTTGCTATGGCTGGAAATACAATTTGCTTATCTGTGCAATGCAGTGAGACAAATCAAGGCTTTCATTATACGCTGAATATTACTCTATTCAAACCTGCTCAAGTAGCTTCCACTTCACCTTTCCTTTAAATTAAAAGTTACAGGTTCTTCCCAACTAATCTGTGGGTTTTATGATAGGAGGAAGATGGACAGCCAGCCTTGACACAGGGGATCCATTTCAATGGCTACAGACGTATCAAGAAAGTTAGCGATCACAGAACTCTCTGAATTTGACTATCAAAAATTCATTAGACAGTTGCAATAGTTCAAGAACACAAGTGCCCAAAAGCAATTTCTTTTAATGTTTCATAGAGAAATATGAGAGATAAGAAGACTGAACAGCCTGACATTGCTATTAAAGAACCTGATTCTTCAACCCCATGGACTTCTATCAGCCCTTGGGCAAGCTGTCTTTCACGTGAATTACTTGCATGATTTACTCACCCTGAGCAGCACCGGCTAGTCACCTAGCATGAATGCTAAAAAAGTCAGTCAATATTGCAAAATACGGTCCTGCTTTATAATAATGGGAACTGTAGCACATTGACTGAATTTAGTTTAGCTCCAAATTTCTTACTCAGTTTAAACTGTTACAGTCATTGAACAGCCATTAAAAACCCACTCAGAGTTTTTATTGCCCTACTATGGCAATATTCCCACAGGTTTCAACCTGAACAGTGATTCAGGATCTGTCTGAGAGATTTAGCTCAATAATGACTCAGAGGATGAAACTGATTTTACAGTACTGAATAATCAGAGGAACTACTGAGATCAATAGAGTTACTCAGGAATCATAAAAAGGAGAGCAGGATAAAAACAGAATCTGAATTAGTTTATAGCAATATCTCAGAAAAAGTTTTATTAAATAACAGAAACATTTATTATTAATGAGGGTAATGGCATATAATAAGGTTATGCCACTGATGGATCAGTGCGGTTTGCCGGTGCTTATCAGAGTGGTGGCACTTGCATGTTGAAAGGAAATTCTGTTCTTCCTGGGTGCAAGCCTTGAAGAGCCTCCACTATGGACTCAGGTAAGCACACAAAAAAGACAAAAATACCTATATGAGAACGTCCACCCACGAAAACCACTTTTATCTCTACTACTAGGAAATACTTTTTTTCCAGTGTCTTTGAGCTGTGGACTACTGCACAGTAATTCCAAATCTACTGGCATGGTCACCTTCCTTGGACCGCCTGGAATCAGCCCACCTCTCTGCAGGGAGCTGCAGACCTCAGGCTAAAGCCCAGAAGACTAATAACCTCAGGCTAACGCCCAGCAGATGGGAGTCACAGATGCTTTGGGTACAGGGCGTGTCTCCAGCTGCACCGACACGAGGGAAGGCACTACCCG